GATTCAAATCTGGTGACCGGGCTGTCCACGGTATTGTACCAGACCGCCCTATCCATCTGCCTGGAAAGTTTTGATCGAGATACTCTCTCACTGAGAGTTCATAGTGCGCTGGGCAGCCATCATGCTGAAACCACATGTCCCTGTAAATACTCAGTGGTACGTCCTCCAATAAATTTTCTAAATGATTTTGCAAAAAAACCTAAATCAACCTCAACAGTCAAAGTCTCTGGAAACTCAAACGGACCGATTATTTTACCATTTAAAATTCCTGTCCAATGGTTTATCTTGAAGCGATATTGAGATTTTATCTTCTCTCATCAAATGTGGGTTTGCTACGTGCCACTTGTGTAAGTTATGCAAGTTCATGTACCCATCTTACTTAAATGTGGTCTCATCTGACCATACAATTTTTTCAAAGAACCATGGATCTTCCCTGTGTCTTTCTAACATTGTGCGACAAAAAGCAACTTGGGGCTCATAATCCCGGGGCAGAAGAGCTTGAACACGCTGTACGTGGTATGGATGGAGCACGTTTTTTTGCAAGATTCTACGGGCTGAACTTTTGGGCACACCTGTTTATAGTTCTATTGCACGCACTGAAGTACTCGGGTCTTCTTCGACAGCTCCTAGCACCACGTCTTCGTAAGGAAGGAAAGATCTTCCCTCACCGTGTGATTGGTTTGGTAGTTGGCCCTCTGAGAACAGTAAGCGGTGCACATTTGTGAACACTCGATGATCTGGATGACGAGCTGCATTCGGGTACCTCTCACAGTAAAGTCTCGCTGCAGCACTAGCGTTGCGTAAGCATTCCCCAAAAATGAGGTGCATTCTTGTACGGTGTACACGGACATAGCGGCACTGCACAACCACACTATCAAAGAGCAATTAAACAGTCCAAATCCAAATCACAAGCGATCAACAGTCCAGTTCACGAATCCAAAATTAGTAACAGTACGAAATCAACAAGCACGAACATGTAAAGATGCGCAGTAAACGAAGGAGTACTGATCGGTATCAAAGTGTGCAATAGCAAGTAAGTGATGTGCTTCATCCGTACCACATACAGCGTGTTCAACATCTCCTGCCCCGGGATTATGAGCCCCGAGTTGCCTTTTGTCGCACAATGTTAGAAAGACACAGGAAAGATCCACAGTTCTTTAAAAAAATGTTACGGTCGGATGAGACCACATTTAAGAAAGATGGGTACATGAACCTGCATAACTTACACGAGTGGCACCTAGCAAACCCACATTTGATGAGAGAAGATAAATCTCAATATCGCTTCAAGATAAACCATTGGACAGGAATTTTAAATGGTAAAATAATCGGTCCGTTTGAGTTCCCAGAGACTTTGACTGCTGAAGTTTATTTGAATTTTTTGAAAAATCATGCACAACATTTATTGGTGGACGTGCCACTGAGTATTTACAGGGACATGTGGTTTCAGCATGATGGCTGCCCAGCGCACTATGCACTCTCAGTGAGAGAGTATCTCGATCAAAACTTTCCAGGTAGATGGATAAGGCGGTCTGGTACAACACCGTGGCCAGCCCGATCACCTGATTTGAATCCGTTAGATTTTTTTACTGGGGAACTGTAAAAGAACAAGTGTATTTCAAGCCGATTCAAAATGTAGCTGAGCTACGGCAAAGACTATTGGAAGCAGCTGAGTTCGTTAATAACCGTGGATTCGCTCGTTTAATAACCCGATCTTTTTAAGAAGATGTCGAGCGTGTATTGCGGCTGAAGGAAAACAGTTTGAGCATCTGCTGTAAAGGTAAATCATCATCAGCAGCATTTTGACGCCCACTGTTGTGCAAACAGTTATCCTTAAGGGTCCTTATGCGTTTTCAAAATCGCTGTTTAATTATAAAATTTTGAAAAATTTTCATCAGTTTTTTTTCAAATAAAAATTGTGCATAAGTTAACGAGTAATCTTCTGAGTGTTATACCATTTTGGAATCGTTATTAAATGCACCAACTTTTTAGGTTACTTGCCAAACTCTCGTAGTACATTTTTTCCAGTACAGCCAGTTAAAGTTGAGCATAGTTTTACTTTGGAATACTTGGTTGGGAAATAAGTGGCAATTTTTCCTGAACGAGAAAAGTTGGCAGTAAGGTTGAGACACTAGTTTGAAGATGCATTATTCATCATTACATTGTAAAAATAAAATTAAAAAAAGTTAATATTTGTAGTAACAGGAGTTGACAGACTGCCGTAGGGTGTGAAATTTCTATATGTTTTTCAAAGACCTATAATTTTCAAAACACATACATAAAATTTTTTTAAATATTTTTCTGATAGCTGTTATGACTTTGCCTATCACCCGGTTTCGGCTTGACGTCGACTTCTGGGACACCCTGTATATGAGTGGGCCTTGGTTGCCAGCTTTAATTCCAAAATAAATTTTGTATGCTTTCAACACAAGGGGAGTAAAAGTACGTTTTTGGGATTTTAAAGTTAGCTCTCTGCAAACATAACAAGAACTGTTCGTACTAGTTACACAATTTCTAGGCATTGTGCCTAAAGCTAGTCTCAATCACAATAAACTAAGAACAACACACCGTTTTAACAAAAATTATCTGTACTCAGAACATCTCAGTACTCTTCAACACAGAAAACGTAACTGATGGCTGCTACTGATCTACTAATAAACGCAATATGCTCTCTAAACATACAGCTCGCATATAATAAACAGGAATAGACAGGTCTTAACATTATATATGTGCGTCATCGCATAAACGCCGCGAAATAAAAGTGGATGCTACCGAATATCTCTGGGTGATAGAAGAATTCTGTTTTTAGATTTGATTTAAGGGTGTCAAAATACATACGATACGCCCAAAAATTGTCATGTCTCAAATCCTGTGTTTGTCAGTGTAATTGAGCCCAAAAAATATCTACTTCAGATTTTCAAACCAGCCGCATTTTGGTTGACGGTCCATATTATACCGGAGGCTCGTCGCATGACGGCATCATGGGGAAGAGCTCTGAGGGGCAAAGGCCATTGACATAGGGGTGCTAAATCGGATAAATCTGGAAACCGGAATCTTACCTTAAAGATTCTCAGTATACTTCACCAGTAAGGTGCAGCATCAAAGCATTTTAAAGAGCATTGTGTATATTTCAGTTTGCATCAGACAATATTGTACGGAGGTTGATCATTTTATGCAAGACGTGGGAAGTGCCTTTGCTAACACTACATAAAATCTGGTCGTTTAGTCAAGTGTTGCGAACTGAATAACAACAAATATGAGGATTGTTCAATTGAAACCCATATTTGGTCAAGTTAGGATTCGAATCACTTAACTGACGTTTTACAATGTTAGTTGTGTTTGTTAACGTCACACTGAGCAGTTCCTCTCATTTGTCTTTGACAGCGATTTTAAGTGTGCTCATTTGTTGTTAACAATCCGTCCAAATATAATCAAGAGACATGAAATGATTGGGGGTAAAAGAACTCTATGAGTGACACTCAGCCACTTATACCCAAAAACTTTCACTGTCAGCCATTCCTCTAGTTTTGAAACACATTAAAATACATATTTTGGATAGATATATAGTACTTAACCCTTTCAATCCGGATTTGTTTTTTTAACATTACTGTTTTGAAATGTTGTATACCTATGTAAAAATAAACTAAAAAGAGGTTATTTGGTGAAATAAATTTTTATTTCAAACAGGTTTTCATAAAAATAATGGGACACTGATGTACCAGCAGGTTTTGGCGGGACACATTTTTCCCAACGGTTACGTAATTCAGGTATGGCGTAAGACTATCTACGCATAATGGCAAATCACACATCCTGCAGAAGAGTTTGGTTCTCTTTTCAATTTTCCTTTGAGATCAGCGATAGCACCTTCTTCTTGTAGGCCCTGTCTCAGGTAAATGATCACCAACATTACTTGGATCCGTGCATGGTTGTGAGTGTCGTCCAACTTTTCTGGTCATTTTACGTTTCACACCTGTGCTACCATGGGCTATCAGTAACTCCGCTAGTTTTACGACATATTGAATGAAGGTAGTATTTTTTTGACGTGTTTCTCTGAATAGTATAAAAGAATTACGAACCGCCATCATAAGAGATTTATAATAGACTTTTCGCCACCACTTCGCAGATTTTCTGTTGATATCATATAGAGAAACCGTTTGATCGGCATGGTCCACGCCGCCCATATACTTATTGTAAAACTCCATACCTTCGGGGTACGGAACTTCTGAACTTGATCCGTCTTTCATTTTTCTTTTAACTTTAGTTACTGTAGCTTTATGACAATTGGAAAGTAAAACAAAGTATTTAGTATCTTGCCATCTAATAGCTAAAGTTCCCTGATTACTATGTCTAATTTGGGATTCCCCTCTTGCTAGTTTTCCTTCAACCTTCGGCACATCCTCACGATTCCTCATACAGGTCCCCACTGCAGCAAATTCAATGTCATTCATCAACTTTACTAATGTGAAAAATCTGTCAAAACACAAATATACATTTTTTGTTTGACGAATTGAAGAGGTCAGCTTTTTCACTACACGTTCACCAAGGGTTCCCTCAGTGACCTCCGTTTCCTTGCCACTATAAGTATTCAGGTCATAAACGTACCCTGTAAATGAATCACATCTTGTCCATATTTTAATTCCACGTTTGACTGGCCTTAGTGGCATGTATTGTTTCAGGGTCGACCTACCCTTAAATTTTGCTATTGATTCGTCGATACATTGACACGTAGAGTCACCTCTTTCCTGGGGAAAGATTTTTTTTAAGCACGATAGTACTTCGCCCATGTAATATGTTTTTGATGGATTGTCGAGCTTTTCAGGTTCGTTAAAATACAACTTTGTTAAAAGTACTTGACGTCTATCCCTAGATATAGCGTGTTTTATTGTTTCGTTACCAAGAGATGGATTATTTGACCAATACATTGCAAATGTTGGTACTCTAACACACACCAGTTACTAGCATAATTTCTTTGCCATTGATTTTTTCAATTTTTTTCTTTATAGTTTTTTCGTGAATTTCTAGCCTTTGATTTGTGCAATGGGCAATATAAAGAAATAGACTTCTTGGAAAGACCTTTAGAAAGCAGTTCAATTCAGTACTGCCACGATTTAGGTCACACTGTATGGTAGGTTTTACTTCAGGGGGTATAGTTTTTCTAGAAACAAAATTTTCGTTGTTAGTATACCACAAGATAATTTTAGCATCCATCAGTGTTTTCGTCTTCCTCAGCACACAGCGTATAATTGTCTTCATCATCAGAAGAATCACTATCACTTCCTTCTGACACAGATGCAGATGATGGAATGAAATTTTGATCTTTCGCGCTGTCGTCACTACTATATGGCTCGGACTCATCTGCTTCTCCCACACTCAGGTGTTCAGCATAGTACTCCAATTCGGCCTCAGTAAGGGCATTTTTTCTGGTACTCATGCTGTAACAAAAGAAAAGGTTGAGAGCGTACAAGCCTAATGGGACACATCTGACCCGGTATGAATACCTGTTGGGACATATATGACCCAGGGATAAATAATGGGAACGAACACTCAAAAAAATTAATTTATTGTCTTATATTTATATATAAATACTTACTTCTGTGCTTTCAGTTGCCGACTTTCTACAAAACAGCAATAAATATTTGAAACAGATCACTATAAATGCAAGTAAAATACTAAAACATGCGCTGTCTAGATGTATACACAATCGCACCACGTGTTCAACTGCTTGCGTTTTGTTGCTCCATGTTGCCACATCGCAAATTATTCTCCCACAACCATAAATACTGATATGTCCCAGTGCGAGGTATTTCAAATACGAGGAGGTCACTTTTGGAATTTATCAAAATCTGCTGGGACGTATGTTTCTCTACAGGAGTGAAAGGGTTAAATCAGTGGGTTTTTTAATCTTTTATTTCACAAACATTTTCAATGTAAGACCTGATTCTTTTAACTGTAAGACTGTTAATACTTATACAACTTGTTTATATACTGAGAACAAGTAAAGGTTAACACCTACGTATGTTTATCCGATTTTAATTATTTTTGGCATACAGTACCGAGCAAAAGTAGAGAAACAAACCACATTACAAATAAAAATTCAGAAAGATTCACTCTATCCCAAAACTGTACACTAAAGTTTTTTATGTATGACTACCTCAATATGATGAAATGCTTATCTCTGTATACATTCTTATTTTTCAATATCATATGGTCGGTTTTTTGTTCAACGAGCAACAGTAGAGAAACATTTTGTAAATATTTAGTTTATATTTAGTGTCGATTAGAATAGGTTATTTTTGAGAGTATATGGTAAAGTGTAGATCAAAAACATGGCCAGAGGAATTACATTGAATTTGCAAACAAAAGAACTGATTATTCTAAAATATCGATCAGGCACTAAACAAGCAACCATAGCCAAACAGCTGAACTTAAGCCGATCGGTAATTTGCAAAACTATTAAGCTGTTCTTCGTTAAAAAATCGTTGGTAACCCGTCCTAATACTGGCAGACCGCGGAAAACCACACCTAGGATTGATGCTGTCGACATAAGAGCTCAACTTGAAGAAGTAAATATTGGTGTCTACACTGTTCGAAGACGTTTAAGGAGTAAGGAGACAATCAAAAAAACCCTTTATTTCCAAGAAAAATCGGACCGCCCATCTTCAATTTGCTTACGATCATTTGAACTGTTCAAAAAAAGGTGGAATCCTGTATTACTTTCTGATGAAAGTAAATTTACTTTATATTCATCGGATGGCATTTTATGGGTGAGACGTCCCGAAAACAAGCGATTTGATCCTAAGTTCACTTTGGGCACAATCAAACACGGAGGCGGGAAGGTTCAACTATGCGGTTGCTTCTATGGTCTTCAAATGGGACCCATCTTCAAAATTGAAGGAATTATGGACCGGTACAAATACTTGGAAATATACTAAGTGACATATAAATCCGAACACCCAGTTTAAATGGTTTTATTTTAATAAAATTTTGTATAAGTACTTAATGAAGCATAATAAGTAAATGATAAAAATTTCAAAATGATTGCACTGCTTTAAAGCCCTTTGACCTTTAATAATGTGTGGATGCACCCTGATGTGCTACGCATTCTCCAACGCGCCTAGGCATACTTCTGATCAGGTGGTCAATGTCCTCATGTGGTATCTCATTCCAGGCAACCACCAACTCCTCTCGAAGTGCTTCTAGAGTCTGAGGAGGACGTTGCAAATTGAGCAATCTCCTACCCATCATATCCCACATGTGCTCAATTGGGGATAAGTCGGGAGATCATGGTGGCCATGGTAACAATGTGACATCATTATGTTGAAAGAAGTCTATTGTGACTCTTGCAACATGTGGTCGGGCATTATCTTGTTGGAAAGTTGGATCTGCCAGGGTGTTAAGATAGGGTAAAAGATGGGGTTCTAGAACTTCGTGGATATAACGCTGCCCGTTCATGTTACCTCAGATGAAGATTAAAGGTGACCTGGAACCATAAGCTATAGTACCCCAAACCATAACTCCAACAGTGTGATGAACACGTCTTTCAACAAAAAACTGTGGATTCTTCCTTTCACCACGTCGCCTTCTAACCCTGGCACGACCATCGTGCATGCCTAAACAAAATCGAGACTCGTCACTAAAGACAATACTGTTCCATTCCTGATCCCAGAGTGACCGCTGTCTGCACCACTCAATGCGATTTAAAGTTAGTTAAAGAGTTAAAGGGAGGACCCAGTGTGGCCGGTATGAAAACAAGCCAAAACTTCTCATTCGTCGGTAAACACTTCGCATGCCAATAGGTCTTCCGTGTTCTGCAAACCATTCATTTGCAATGGACCTGGTAGTGGAGAAACGGTCCCTTAAGGCCAATAATCGTAGGCGGCGATCTTCACGGTCTGTTGTTCTACGGCGGCGTCCAGTGCCCCTTGCTCTTTGCGTGCGGCCTTCTCGAAGCCATGCCTGACAACACCTAACCACAGTGTCTACACTTCTTTGCACTCTAACTGCAATTGCCCGAAAAGAAGGTCCAGCTTCCCGAAGTCCCACTATACGGCCCCTATCAAACTCACTAAGTTAAAGAAATCGTACAGGTCTCCGTACTCTAGGCATCGTAACCGATCGTAAAGGATGTCAAGAACCAAAATCCGCCAACGTTGATTCTTTACTGCGGCTGAAATATTCATTTTTAGAGCGTTAGCGAATTAAAAAAAAAACAGTATAAAAACCGGAATGTCCAACTGATAAGGCTGAAAATCACTTGTTATTTACAGTAAGATAAATACATTCACCAACTTTTATTAAAATAAAACCATTTAAACTATGTGTTCGGATTTATATGTCACTTAGTATATTAACTGATACCATCCCACCTTACGCAGAAGAAAACATGCCTCCACGCTGGCGGTTTCAGCACGACAACGACCTCAAGCACACAGCGAAAATGATAAAAACATTTTTTGCAGATCACGATATTAATGTCATTAAGGGGCCAGCTCAGATTCCAGACCTTAGCCCTATAGAGAACCTATGGGATTCAGTTAAAAAAATCCGGACTGAACATCCAGAAAAGTTCAAGAATAGTACCGAGCTATTTGGAACCATCAAAGTCGCCTGGAATTCTATTCCAAAAGAAACAATAGCACAGTTGCACAGTCGAATGAATGGATCAAGTTTCCAACTACCAACCACGAACTAACCGTTTTCTCTCTGCGCTCGGTGTATAGTTCACTTTCTCCGTCTTGAACACTACCAACCTGAATGTCACCTCTAATTTCCCCAATTGTATGAGTACAGTCACCTTCCACAGCTTTCAGCAACTTTCTTTCCCAATCTAACAATTTAATTGCTTTATTACCAGTTTTTTTCTAGATCTGTTTTTTCTTCAATCCTGATTTCATGTAGTTGATTTTCTTTAATAAGCCTTTAGTATCTAATGTGGATTCGTATTTTATCAACATCCTCAAGGCATCGTCCTTTTTCATTTTTATTTTTGGAACTTGTGACTTTTGCAAAAGAATGGGAGCAATGGCAATTTCATCTGCGATGACTGCAGGTTATTGCTATTATTTTCTATAGTTTCCTCATCACTTGAGGATGACGTGCTTATTAATTTGATAAAAAACTGTATCCAGTAAACATACGGAACGATCTGTGTAAGCTGTGGAGTACAACTGTCAGTGATGCTGAGTGAACGAACACCCATGTCAACTACAAGCTGGAACAAGTCAGGACATGTCGCTCAAGATACAAATACCAGTCAACCTTTTACTTCTTCTTGGAGGATACCCTCGCGAGTATGAGGTAATAATTATGAATATGAAAACAAGGATATGCTTACACTACCTTTTTCTCCTAAGCAAGACCTTATACTTTTACCTTGTGCTTCCGAGGATATGCTTCTCTTTTATGAATACGGCTTATTAAAATATCCTATGTTTAGTTGTTTGTTGTTGCTTTTAACTTGTGAAGGTTCGGATAACTGGTTACTTGTCGCGATACCTCGATGTTCAGTTTTCTACCTCCATGAACGCTCCAGTATAAAAATGGATGGTACAAGTTTGCGATCCATCCGGCAAAGGTGTAAATGAACCATGTAATACCGCCATCATCGCAGCCATTTTTCTATCAACATTTCATGTACTTCGACCACCAAAGGAAAAATCGTTACAACCTGCACCGGACTTACACCTAATTGGTCAAGCCAGCTTCGAACTTTTTTAATTGAAGAGGAACACGAAGGTCTTCGATATAGTCGATTATTTCATCTTGCACTTAATTACTCATCTGAGTAATCAAGATACGCAGCACAATTATTACTTGTTTACGTACGGTCGATATATCAGTGCACTTGCTCCGCAACTACCAGAGTCTGCGCACACGTTTATTCTTGCTTAATTCAGAATGCGTGATGGGCACGGCGTCTTGCCGGCCCCACATATACAGGGTGAACCTTAGAGTTTTCTTTACAATCGTATAGCTACATTAAAATGTCAAAAATAGGACGCCCTTTCTTTAGTGGCATTACTTTTATTTGTCATTTTTATGCTCGGTCATGCAATAATATTTGGAATTATACCTTATGGCAAATAAATTATTATTATTATTTGAGTAGCCTGTTAATCGGAGGGTTCTGGCTTAACCTGGACGTTTCAAGCGTCAAAGGAAAAAGCCCCAATAGTGACTGAATAGGTGCTTAGGTTTCCCATAAATTTCCTTACTATGCGGGCAGTTGCAAGCATTATTTTGTAGACGTAGACTTCTTGGTATCACTATTATTATTCTTGTTATGAAAGAAATTAAGTGTTGAAGGCAGATAACATATGCATTAGGTTGGTTCCTTCCTTTCAAGCACCAGCAAAGGAAAGTCTAGATGGACTATATGGAGTGTTTGAGTCCAGAGTCTTACCTAGTGGCGAAGAATATGCATTTTTCCAGGATCTTCATCAACATTCTAAATTAAGCAAGAATCAACGTATGTTCTGGCACTTAGAACAAGTTGGCGTGCATCAGGACATCAACCATCATAAAAAACAATCTCAGCGTCACTGCAGTGCAACTTGATCTAGGAAGGCCGGTTCTGATCACTGTTAGGTTCAACGGCCATCTTGACCAGTAGCCGGTGTTTTTGCTCTCTAGCTGTTATGGCAAGGTCGCGTAGTATTGTGCGTGTCGATTAGTAGTTCTAGTCCTAATTGTGACCGCCAAAATGCTAGCACAATCGCCAAAATCTATTTTTTTATATATATATTACTATATATAAATATATTCATAGTCAATATCATCAATCGTACTTCGTGCATTTGCTAAGGGTGTGTGTCTCTTCATATATTCATCAATTTAGCTTAGGATTCAATTGGGAATAGAGATACAGGTATAACGCAAGAAACGTATTCGATATTCTCTACCTTGTAATAAAAAAATGCCATTCTTGGCTTAAAAAAAAACTAGTCCTAGTGACAAATAAATAGTCATTCTTTGCGAGTTCTTTATCATAGTGCAGGTATACTTTTCTCCTGCTACTTGAGAGTGACAGGATGACAAAGCATGATAGTTTCTCTTTCTTATTGTGCGTCAGATCGGTCCGTGGGACCTTAGCTCTTGTTTAAGGTATCGTAGGCACAGTAGATCTGTCAGGTCTGACTGCTCAGATACCAGGAAGGAAGAAAGGAAGAAGGAAGAAATGCAGAAAGGAAGAAAGGAAGAAAGGAAGAAAGGAAGAAAGGAAGAAAGGAAGAAAGGAAGAAAGGAAGAAAGGAAGAAAGGAAGAAAGGAAGAAAGGAAGAAA